GCGTATATTATTCAATTTTATAAACAACCCAGATAGCACAACTACGTGGAAACAACCATGGCCGAACGTTGTTCGAACCACCGGCCCAATAATGGCGAACAACCATGTTCCAGCGAAGATTTGGCCGCTGGGCCAACGTCGGTCCTTTCGCTGTAATGCAACCGTGGCAAACGGTCGGGCCAACGTAGGCGATACGTTGTAACACAATCGTGAAATATGGCCGGTCCAATGTGGGCGATACGTTGTAACACAATCGTGACATACGGTCAGGCCAACGTAGGTGACACGTTGTAATACAATCGTGGCATATGATCGGGCCAAGTTAGGCGATGTGTTGTACAGACAGGGTATGGATCTATACTACATAGAAATTTCCCACTAATCTAACATTATTTATATAATAAAAAACAAAAGATAACAAAATGTCTTTATTTTACAAATATGTATGCAAGTAATAAAATTATTCTGAGTTCGTTGCCAGATCATCCAGAGCTGAAAAATATAAAAATTCTGTGTTTAATTGCAGTATTAGCAAATTACAGCACCAGAGTTCAAAGCCTGGTCTGAATGACTGCATCCCAACAAATTTTCAGAGTAGGAATCTTAAGCCATATTTCTGCAGTCGCAAATGTGTGAGTATAGCTTACATTGACATGACAATAATAATTGAGAAATACAGAAATTCTTGATTCCGCAAGGGGGGCGTAGACAATGTTTTGAGGGGAATATTTGTTGGAGGGAATAATGATGTTTTGAGATTTTATCTGACTAAAATGTCTTAATAAATATTCCTTGTTGAAATTCATCTATCTTATTAGAAACATCATGCACCATGATTAGTCTATTTGTTTAATTGATTTACAATAAATTTATTTGTAACTTCATCATTTGCTGTTGTGCTAGGGGGGGATGATAATGTAAAAAGTACTGTAACGGAGCGATGATACAAATAAGTTCGAAAACCACTGTTCGCCATTATGCACCAAACTCTGGCAACATTGGATTGACAATTTGGCACTTGACTCTAACCATAATCAGCTTGGCGATATCTCCTTAATAAATATTTTTCTATACTGTTCACTTTTGTATACAAAATCTACATTCAATTTCTTTACTGTTCACAGTTGTTTACAAAATCATTATTCAATTTGACAATCATAATGATAACAAGAGAGCTACGCACAAATATATGGACACGTCAGACCAGAGCGAATCAGTCCTTACCGGTACCTTTGACCAGGGCTGGGGAGCTGGTTCGAAATCATGATGGCTCCGGCTCCAGCTCCGGAGTCGCAGTGTATTCAATCTTTAGCTCCAACTCCGGCTCCGGAGCTTCATTTTTTTTTTATGCCGGAGCTGGCTCCAGCTCCGGCTCCATAGCCATTATCAGTAGTGCAGCCCAATAACGCATTTTGCTAATTGTTTTCTAAGTGTGGCATGTTATTTAGGCTGTAAACACCCTTCAAGTCGGTGTCATGATAATTCCTTTTTGTTCCTGCATGTAACTTGTGAATCCACTGAGAGTTATTATATGCTGTATTTCCGGGCGAATCGGTCTACCCAGCATATAAGGGTTTTACATATAACCCATCCCACAATAAGACGGGAAGGAAAATCGGCTTCTGGAATGGTCGCAGCGTTTGCGCATTCGGTAAAATAGCTCATAATGACTTTTTCTACCACATAATATTTAACCCATAATAACTGTCTTTTTATTTTAATTTAATTGTGTTCAACATAACTGGCAATCATGCCGGCCAAATAAAATCTGTCGTGGGCCATTCTAAAGCAAAACTTATGGTGTTTTCTGTTTTATTTTTAGTATTTTATAATGTCGCTTTTTAATCAGGAAAATTTGGTTTGCGTATTGACTTCTTTATTTATCTTAGAAGTTCATCACCGATGATTATGTAATATTTCGTTTTCTCACAAATATGGTGCGCGACACAAAACATATGTCTTGAAAAAATAGTGATTAAGGGAAAAATAAACACTGAAATAAAAGATGTTATGGCCTAATGTTTATGGCGACTAAAACAATTGACGCTTTTCACGAAATGCAACGCACATGTGATAGTAACGGCAATAGCCCTTCAACTCATGATAGTTTAAACTGGCCTGACGGGGAGGCAGTATTTTATGGTCCAAATTGAATAAGCAGACCCAAAATAATGGAAATTACCATCGTCACCCAATTAGATGCCGTCCCCCTCTCCCAAATCAGGCCAAAAGTTGGTTCTAGAATCGATGCGTTTTCATAATTATCAGCGATGAGATGTTAAAGATAAATAGAGAAGTCAATTCGCAAGCCGAATTTCCACATTGGAGAGTTAACATAAGATACTAAAATGAAACGGAAAACACTATAAACTTTGTTCTAGGAGACTCCCAACAACTAAAAAAAATGCCTTGTTAATCTCATTATTTTTTTTGCCTACGACATATTATTTACCGGTTGACTTTGAAAATTATACAGTCACTAAAATAAATCTAAACGCAATCAATCTTACTCGTGATATACTTTTTATATATTCAAAAAATAACAACGGAAATTGATGAGACTTTTCTCCAGAACATGCTATGTTATGGATCAAAACAAGATATAATGGGGCACTTTGCCATACATTTTTATGTCAGGTGACTGCTGCGGAGCATTTTCGAGTAGTTAAACCTTTCTTTTGTCGTAAAACGACTCAATCTCAAGATACGTTGAACAGAATTGAAGACATTTGAAATGGATTGGATATTCAACGCCACGAAAAAATCATAATATGTTACATGGAAATTCCAAAATCACTTCTTCGAAAATCCCTGGCCATTAGGGTTTTTGAGCTTGACCGCAATCATGAAAAATTGCAGCTTAGTGGAAATGAGAATCAAAATTTTGATAAAAGCGAAACGCTTCAAATTTTGATACTAAACTTTCAAACATACAGAATAACTGGTAACTTTTTAAAAAATATTAGAAACTAAAAATTTTAAAATGAATTATAAGCTGAAAAGAAAAGATTTTATCATTTGTAACGCTATCAGAAAAAAATTATAAATTTGAAAAACAAAAAATGAGATATTTAGGAGTTGGAGCCTGGAGCCACTAAATTTTTTGTAGCCCCAGCTCCGGCTCTGTCTGTTATGAAAAGCTTGGCTCCAACTCCGACTCCAGCTCCATCAAAATGTAACGGCTCCATGGCTCCAGCTCCGGCTCCCCAGCCCTGCCTTTGACGCTACCGGTACCCTCAAAAAAGTTCTGAATTTCCAGTAGCAAGAATTTTGCAGAATCAAAACATACAGCCAGTCATGACACTGACTAAAATCCGTGTTCCCATGGATAAAAAATAATACAGCAAACTTTTAGACGAAATATCAAATTTCATAGAATTCACGCAAAATTTTGAAATAAATAAAAGTAATAGCCTTCTAGCGAAAAAATTAATCTTCAACCACTGAAAATTTCAAAGCAATTGGTCCGGTATTCGAAGAGAAAAGCGACTTTTTAAAAACGTGTCAAAGAACAAGAACAACAACAACATAATATTGAAACGATCGTTATGTCCACTTCGTGTCCAAAAATGAATGGTGTGGCAACTGGCAAGTACATTTTGTTTACTACCCAACATATCTAAATTTTCTCGCCTGTATTTATTTTATTATATCTCTGTTGTTGTTGTGTAGTGTGTAACTTAATTTAATTCATGAACACGATAGGCATCTTTTTGGCAAAACTTTATATTCTTTACGCTTTAATCTCAATTAAGGTTTTGTTTTCATTCCAGATTGTCAGATTCTATTTAATCAATTTTTGTTAATTTCCCTTATGAATTATCTTAAGCTGATTTGGAGTCAAAATAATCTTATACTCATAAAATAGAAGAGGGTAGAGCAGAGAATGATGGTGGTACAATATGATAAACATATTACATACCGGTACCTTTAATAGCAGAAACTAAGGGCGTCCCACTCACTCCTTCTTATACACTGGGTCCTGCACAGTTAAAAGAGCGGGCGAGTAAATTTGTTATAACTGAGCTCATGATTCTCCATTCCTGTCTTTCTTGGAGCAACCTCCGAGACTTGACAAATATCTTATCTGGAATGAGTAAATAAGCACAATTATAAGAATACATTTAATGAAAAGGTTTCCATCCGTTGCCAAAGCTCTATGTTAATTATCGCGAGTATCTACTCTAAAATATACACATATGTGTTTTGTCCACATCCCATTCGTATAAAAGTGAACAATTTTAATATTGCAATCGGATCGTATTCAGACATTTAAATATTCTTCCTTGAATACGAAGTGAAAATATGGGGCATATTGTATTTCATACATAATTTCGAAGCGCTTCATGCAGTCAAAAACGAAACGACAAAAAATAAAAGGCACTCAATAAGATGAGACCTAGCAAAGGTATTTTCACCTATTTTACTTTCATGTTCTGTTTAGCTTTCGGATTAATTATGGAGTAATCTGCAATATTTTAACATTGTACTAAAACTAAACAAATATTCTGAATCTCAGAGATTTTTACATCGTGGCCTTCATACAATGGCCGGTCAGCAAACTCTTTTAAATTAATTTTGCTTGCCCGCTGGCCGCTGGGGTAAAAAGGTTGGGAACCACTGAACTAAACAGTTAAGTACAACCACGTTACACCAACGCCCCGCAAACTTACAGTCGATTTTCATCAGAATGATTGAATAGAATAAATTGATTTTTAATGTTTTCTCGTTGTGGGGTCGCAAATATCTGTAGTCTGTGATTTTACAAAAATTAGGGTCGCGAAAAAAAAATTTGGGAACCACCGCCGTAAAGTGTATGTAATCAGCCTATAAAAGTTCAACTTACGAGCCATTTTTTCATCCTTTCTGGATCAAAATGTAATCAGACAATGAATTTCATTAATTCCGGTATGTCCGAGTCCAAACAATAATCAGTGGAAAATTGCAGATGCCGTAGCTTGTAGCATAAGAGTTTCTACCGCCTGTCTCAACAATTTTTCCATGGACTGGATTGGAGCATGGCTTGATCTCTGAAAATCAAGTTACAATATATAGTACATGATTGTCTTTCAGATGATAAACGTGAACGAATGGCCTATACTAATTACCAGAATATAAATTTTTCATTAATATTAATTACCGTATTATTTCCGGCGAATAAGACGAGGCCTGTTTTTAAGCCTGAAAAAATGGGTTTTTGCATATAACCGGCCAATAAGTCGGGGTAGTAAAATCGCATCAACGTCGGGAATCTCAAATTACCATGCAATGCCTTTCGAGCGGTCGCCGCGTTTGCGCATTGGTTAAAATAGCCTATGACTTTTTTAGCGTAATATTCAGTCCATATATGATAATGCAAATATGATAATCACAGCATTGAAATTTCAGACTCACAGAGAATGTCGATTTATTTAAACTAACCTGATGAGGACGTGGGGGATGCTATCGCCGAAGGTATTTTATTGTCCGGATTCAATAATAAGGCGACAAAAAAATGAAAATGATCATACTCGCCTAATAAGACGACCCCCCCCCCAAAATCAGGCCAAAAATTTGGGTCTAGAAAAGCGACTTATTCGCCGGAAAATACGGTATTAACCACATGATGTTGTACTAGGTAATTATTCAACCGATATATCTAGCTATTGTGCAATATTTTATGGCACAGATATGCAAGGAGCTACTATCAAACTATAAAACAAAAACACCTGTTTTGGGCATTGTCCGCATTGAAACATTGAGATGCTTGAAATGACACAGTGTATGATTGCGTGAAAGAGGGAATTGAAGCAGGTGAATTTTCCAGTCCATTGTCATAGGGCCTATTATAAAAATGGTATATATCATTAAACTTACAATGGTAATATTGACACTTGACAGAATATCTAATCGGTAATAATTATTTAGAATAACCGGAAAAAAATGGATATTACACAAAATATGTCCAAATATTTGTAAAGGATGTGTCGTACAATACTTCATGCTTTTAGAGTCGCTGGGCATTGCACAGTTGCATGCACATTTGGCAGTCATTGTACAGAGATGGGCTTCCCCCAATCGCCCGAATCTTTTTTGCTAGCGGTCTACTTTCCAATTCACTTTAAAATATAATAACACTTAATTAAGGTTGGTTGGGTAAGCTTACATAGCATACATACTGAAAATAAATCATATTAATATATACCCAATATAATTCTATTGAATTTTAAAACAAAATAGATATTATTCAAAAATCAGTAATTTATTTCTCAACAAAGCTGAAAATATGAACTAGAGCAGGGTTGGGCAAAGTTCTCGGACCGCGTGCAAAAATTTTGCGCACCTAGACTGCTGGCGCCATGTCGCATCTCGCATGTGTGGCGTAAAAAGTTATACTTTAGAAACAAAATTTTATTTAAAGTGTTACAAAAACAAAAAGGGAAAACAATAATCCTTGAGCTATTTTTTACCCAAAAACATCAAATTTTAGTTTCAGTTTGATTGTGGCAATTGTTAAAACATATTTTAGATTTCAGCCAATTGAGATCTGTATTTAGATTTGTTGAAATTCATCAGACAGAAGGTTCACAAATGTACAACTATTCAGATTACTGGATTAAGTCGTTCAACGGGTTGGATTTGGGCTGCGGAAATGTTTGCACTTAGACAAATAAAGTAAATATAAAAAATCATATCCAGGGATGAAGGACCAATACAATACCGGTACTCGATAACGAATACTGGTAAATAAGAGATGGCAACCTCAGAAAGTTTAACAAAAAATTTCCAAAAGACCAAGTGCGGTACCGGTACCTCATCTCGTTCTGTCGTTACCGGTACCGTACGGTGTCCAGGGATAAATACCGGTACCCACTTTTACCGGTATCTACCATAGGTACCGGTACTCGATCACGAATACTGGTATATGAGAGATGGCAACCTAAGAATATTTAACAAAAAAATGCAAAAAGACCAAATACGGTACCGTACCTCATCTCGTTCTGTCGTTACCGGTACCTAGGCTACGGTGTCCAGGGATGAATATGTAACTTTTACCGGTACCGTATCACCCTTATGAACCGTGACCTGACAACGCACTTAGGGTACCGGTACCATGAGATTAACTTACACGGTTACAACTAGGCTATCTACTTTCGCCATTCTACTATGAAAGCATTAAAAGTTCAATTTCACTGTCCCATCCACGGCAAAAACCTCTCAACAGGATATCGATTACGAGTACCGCCAAAATGAATGGCGACCTCATGTGCTATATTCGAATCGCGCGCTCATTTCTTCGCAGATTGGCGTGTTTCGTTGAAGGCCAATCATGGCCTTACCATGGTAAATGGTTGTAAAATCGCGTACAACGGTTGCCGGCGAATTATAACGTTGGCCCAACGTAGTTGTGCTATCTGGGAAGGTGGACATCATAAAATGAATCTGTATTTCAATTAATTCAGCTACGATAAGAAATCTAAAGCAACAATGACGTCAGACGAACATTACAATTTATGCAATGTTGTTCCGGTCAAGAGGGGCTTGATTTAGTTATTTTGGATTAAAGATACAGTCATATAGTTTGTGAGAAAAGTCAAATAAATTTCAACAGAAAATTGTAAATTTTTGAATTTCCGGTTCAATATAGATTGTAAGCAAAGTTTAATGAATTTCAACAAAAACTTTTAATATTTTCGATTGAATTTTTGATAATCTGACGCAAAATTGACGTAACTCATATATGGTGATTTTGAAAGCCCAGCAGCATGTGGTTCCGGTCAAGAGGGGGTTGATTTTATTATTTTTAATTAAAGATATAATCATACAGATTGTGAGCAAAGTTTTATGAATTTCAACAAAAACTTGGAATTATGTGAATTTTCCGATTGACTTTTGATAATCTGACGCAAAATTGACGTAACTCATATATGGCGATTTTGGGTATTTTCAAAGCCCAGCACCATGTGGTTCCGGTCAAGAGGGGGTTGATTTTGTTATTTTAAAAAAAGATATAGTCATATAGATTATAAGCAAAGTTTAATGAATTTCAACAAAAAACTTATAAATTTTTCGATTGAATTTTGATAATCTGACGCAAAATCTACTTAACTCATATATGGCGATTTTCGGTCAAATCAATGATTTTCATTCTAACTTCAATGTCGAATATACATCCCAAACTCTCCTTCCCACGACGTTCATTCAATTGACTACTAATCATCCGTTAAGAGCCAAAACTTTCGCTTTGGAACACTTTTTCATATTCATTTTTCCTAGACACCTGACCCCTCTAAAAATATTTTTTCACTTAACTATTGCAAAAGTTTTGATGATTATTTTCAAGTGATTTGAAGAGTTGGCTTACAAACTCATTTCCTTTTTTTTAAATATCTATTTTTTGGAGAAAAAAAAATACATACCGCTTGCAGGTAATGATAGTCTATCATGACTTTTCTGGGACTAATTCTTGAATATTGCAATTACCGTATTTATTCGCGTATACCGCGCATAATTATGAACTGCTTTCCATCAAAAACCAAGGATATGCCATGTGCGTAATACATGCGTAATATACAGGGTGTTAAATAAGTTACGCAAAATTAAGGTAAAATTTCTCGCCATGACAACATCAAAAAAGTAACTGTTAAAAAGCGTCAGTTCCTAAATGTTCAGATGGCATTCCACCGTAATTCAAACCTATTACAAGATGTCAGTGTTAAATGTTTCAAGTAGCATTTCATTTCAACCTCTTTTTATTTGAGTTACTTTTCAGTACATCGTATATTAAGTAAAGTAGAAAAATATTTATACCAATTTTCAATCAAATTTAATGCACCGTATTTAGAGAGTGCACGTTATATTCGAATAAATTTGGTAAACTAAAACTCCCGGGAAGGCATGATGACAACTAGGTTATTTGATTCACATCTAATTTCTAAAAACTTTGTTTTTACAGGGTTATAATAGACTATTAGCATCAATCAACAGAAAATTAGATATGGGTTTTGTTGAGGGTATCTTTCTCATAAATATGGAAAAATACTTACATTCTAAATACTGTGAAATTGCAATTAATACAAATTATAGTCTGGGATTTAGAAAAATACCCACTTCCCCAAAAATGTTAATTTACAAATCTAATTGTTTTAAAAGAGGAAGTGATTTAGTGTCACTTTTTGAATCAGGTAAACAGCATATAAAAAATTACATAAAGCAGGTTCTTGTTCATGAGGCACTGATTTATTATCGCATGTCTAAAACCAATGACACATATCACGATGTGGGTCAAAACTTGGGTGTTTGTGATACTTTCGACAATTTTTAAAAAAATTATAAACAATGACATTATTTGTTCTCTTTTTGCTATGTTCCTCTTTTCAATTGACATCATCATGTACGGTAATCATTTGTGATTTACAAAGTTTGGCATCTGTTCTGGTGCCCGGTATGTTAGTATAGTTTGAATTTTCAAGATTTGAGATATTACAATCTTATATGTCATTGCCAACACGATTCAAACGCTATGCCGACGACCATTTCGATAAAAAAATTGTGGCTTAAAACTCGTGAAGGGGGATACTTGTGAGATAAGAAAAGTGCCGTCCGTGTGAAAAATTTTGTCCTCATTAAGAATTTAAAATTCACTGTACAATTCAAACTACGGTTCTAGTTGCTATTATTCCTGTTTTTGCCTGATACAGGGTGCAAGTCATCATAATTAATCATGGATTTTATTATTTATTATTACTTAGAAGCGAAAGTTTCAAATTTCAATCATGTCACACTTGACATGTGTTTTATTTATAATTGTTTTACTACGTATTTCTATTTTGTTAGATTTTGATAAAATTAAAAATATAGAAATTGTCTAATACATCGGTTGTGGGCCTCACTGATTCAAGTGACACATATATTATTATCGATTATCTTGTAATTTTCATGTCTTGCTATCGCTGGTAGACACAGCAACACTGGATATTCAAACAGATTTGTCATTTCTGATTTCTTACTGATTTATAATTTATACTGCTACCTGTCAGTATATTTCGTGAAATTGGCTGTGGAGTTTCGAGTCTAGCTTGTTTTTGTTGATGTGAGAGAGTTTGAGCACGAGTAATGTTCTCAAACTCTCGAGTGTCTCGATGTTGTAATTTCAAAAAGTCAATGGCGAGCTTGAAACGCATACCCAATAGACAAACAAGGCCTGCATACACATTAGAATTTTTTTTTTTAATACGAGTCGAACTGAAGCTGGTATTAGTGAGTCCAGTACAAAAGAGAGCCCATCCTTAAAATATTGTAAATTCGTTATTTGTCATTTATCAAAATGTGTTAGGATGCGCCAAGGTATACGCAACTTTTCTACACAACTTTTCTGCTTTTCTCCGACTATAAATGTTATTATAATTTCGTTATATCAATAGCTAATAGCATTTAATGAATTCATTTTTAGTAATTTTACCAAAGCTCAGTTTGACTCGAATGTTTGGCTTGTGACGAACCTTACAATTTTTTTCTAACTGTTATAGGCCAACTCGATTCGTCTTATATGTTTTACTTATTAGTTTTCAATTGATAAAATTAAAAAATTTCACTAAAAAAGGTAATAAATTAAAAACCATAAAAAAAATTTGTGTTGTTTTTTTGCAAATATTTTTATTGGTTTATGTATGTTTTAGAAAATCTTAAGTTTGATTTGTTTCATGTAGAATTTGATACAGAATCAATTTCAAGTATTCAATCGAACAATAACCAGTTAATTCATTCAGTGATTCGACTTCTTATTATTACAGCTTTCAAAATAATACTTTCCAATCCAATTTGATCGTTTCACAGCTCAAACATCAGAGCCAATTTTCAATTTAGTTCACTACGACCTACATATCTAATCCGATATTTTTTTTTTGCTTAAATTCCTTCGTGAGATGTGATTGCCATTTTGTTTCAATATTTCATATCCATCCTATTTTTTACCATGAGGAGAATTTTAAGAGACCCGCTGAAATTCATTCGACTTGGCTTATAGATTTAAAGAAAATATTTTCAATTCAAAATAATAAAAAAAATTACAACATTTTGATAACATTAATTCTTCTTCGCTTACACTCTTTAACAACATATACTTATTTTGAATAAACTCAGCTCCCTCTTGATCTGACAACATGCTGCTGGTGAAAATGACAAATTAGTCATTTGTGAGTTACTTCAATTTTGCGTCAAATTATCAAAATTCAATCGAAAAATTTTTAATTATATAAAGTTTTGTTGAAATACATTTAACTTTGCTTACAATATATATGACAATATCTTTAATTTAAAATAATAAAACCAACCGCCCCTTAACCGGACAACATGCTGCTGGGCTTTGAAAATAACCAAAATCGCCATATACGAGTTAAGTCAATTTTGCGTCAGATTATCAAAACTCAATCGGAAAATTCACATAATTTCAAGTTTTTGTTGAAATTCATTAAACTTTGCTTATATTCTTTATAAAGATATCTTTAATTTAAAATAATAAAATCAACCCCCTCTTGACCGGAACAACATGCTGCTGGGCTTTGAAAATCGCCATATACGAGTTATGTCAAAATTGCTTCAGATTAGCAAAATTGAATCGAAAAATTCACATAATTTCAAGTTTTTGTTGAAATTCAATAAACTTTCCTCATTATCTTTATGACTATATCTTTAATTTAAAATTATTATAATAAACCCCCTCTTGACCGGGACAACATGCTGCTGGGCTTTGAAAAAATCA